TGTACCAACTTGCATTCCCACCAACAGTGTAAGAGGGTTCCCCTTTCTCCACAACCTCTCCAACATTTGTTGTTTCTTGCCTTGTCCATTTTTTGCCTTCTAACTGGTGTAAGGTGATATCTCAATGTAAGCCTTTGGCACTTTAATCTCAAGTTAGTGATTCACATCGACGTCATTCCATTAGTAGTATTTTATAAAATTAGTTTTAGATTGTCATTGTGTTTCAGACAGTTGTTTGAAACAGCTCCGTGCCTAACCTAACCTCGCTCTCACTGCTATCTTTTGTTCCATAAGCTCTCTGTTTCTTTTTTTTATCATGTTCAGTTAGCCAACATATAGTACATCATTAGTTTTTGATGTAGTGTTCAAAGATTCATTAGTTGTGTACAACACCCAGTGCTCATCGCATGTTGCCTCCTTAACACCCATCACCCAGTTAAAATTTAAGCTTCTATATTATGCACACACAAATATTCATACACATAAATTCATATACAGATATACAAAGAATCTTATGCTCATTGTAAATGGTCTTTAACTCAGTTGCAGTCTTTTTTTTTTTTTATAACTTGTCTCCCTCAATAATACCTTACAGACGTACCTCCACAACCAGTATAATGCTAATTCATTATTTCAGTGATTGCTTAGTATTTCAGGGTGTGTCATTTATACTTTTGAGGATTTTTCATATTCTTTGTCATTAAATTGCTATTATATCAATCATACAAAAATATTTTGAGATTGAGTTAAAATGCTGGTTCTCCACCAGGGGCAATTTTGTCCTCCAGGGGACATGGAGAAATGTCCAGAGACATTTTAGGCTGTCAGATTGGGGAGGTGTCACTAGAGGCCAGGGGTGCTCTAAACATCCTACAATGCCCAGGACAAACCCCACCTCAGAGAATGATCTGGGCCAGAATGTCAATAGTGCTGAGATTGAGAAACCCTGAGGTAAATAATGCATATCTATATTTTTAATACTTATAGCTGTTTTCAGATTATTTCCACCAAATGTTATAGCACATCATATTTCTGCAATAAAAAAAAGTACCTCTTTGCTACCTGTTTAAAAGTTCCAATCCTAATTGATGTGGTAACTCTTTAAACTTTTTGACAGGCTGATGGGTGTGGAAGAGATTTCATGTTGTTTTCATAAACGATTAGTGTATTTGAGCAAGATTCATATATTTGGTCACCATTTTGATTTGCCCATTATTATTATATGCCCATATATTATATGCCCATTTTCTACAGGTGTCAGCATCTCAAATGATTTTTACAGATTATTGTTTCTCTCTCTCTCTCTTTTTTATTTTGAGAGAGAGAGTGCTAGCAGGGAGGGGTAGAGGGACAGGGAGAGAGAATCTTAGGTAGGTTCCATGCCCAGCACAGAGCTTGGCCTGGGGCTTGATCTCACAACCCTGAGATCATGACCCGATCTGAAATCAAGAGTTGCACACTGAACCAACTGAGCCACACAAGTGTCCTTACAGATGATTGTTTCTCTATTGAATTCTATGGAGATATTTTGGCCATGGAAATATTTTAAATTCTATTAGTTAATGTGTGACTTCTTCATTCTCAGTTTCTTGCCTTAATTAAGATAGTTTTGTCTGCAGATTTTATTTGTTTTATTTTTTTACTTGGAGGATTTTTCTGATAATTTTAAAGACTTTCAGGGACTTTTGTATTTTTTAAATTTATTTTAAAATTTCTGTATAATGGACATGCAATGTTTTATTAGTTTCAAGTGTACAATATAGTGATTCAGCAGTTGTACACATTACTCAGCACTCATCATGACGAGTGTACTTTTAATTCCCTTCACCTGTTTCACCCATACCCCCACCCACCTTCCCTCTGGTAACCAGCAATTTGTTCTCTATAGTTAAGAGTCTGTTTTTTGGTTTGCCTCTTTTTTTCTTTGTTCATTTATTTTATTTCTTAAATATCAAATATGAGTAAAATCATATGGTATTTGTCTTTCTATGACTGACTTATTTCACTTAGCATTATACCCTCTACATCCATCCATGTTGTTGCAAATGGCAAAATCTCATTCTATTTTATGTGTGAGTAATATTCCAATGCATACATGTGTATACACATATATACAAATCGCCTTTATCCATTCATCTATTGATGGACACTTGGGCTCCTTCCGTATCTTGGTTATCGTAAACAATGCTGCAATACACATTGGGTGCATATATATTTTCAAATCAGTGCTTTTGTCTTCTTTGGGAAGTGGAATTACTTGATCATGTGGTATTCCTATTTTTAACTTTTTGAGGAATCGTCATAGTGTTTTGCACAGTGGCGGCACCAGTTTGCATTCCCACCAACAGTGAACAAGTGTTCCCTCCTCTCCACACCCTCCTCAACACTTGTCACTTCTTGTCTTTTTATAGTAGCCATTCTGACTGGTGTGAGGTGATAGTCTTATTCGTTTGGATGTCACATAGATGGAATTATTTTATTTCCTTTTCAGACTGTTCCCTGCTTTTTGAGGGTTGGCTTTGTATCCAGTGCAGAATATAAACAATAATGTACCTGCCAGGTTAATAATGCATGATTGTGTCATGCTCTTTCTCTTTTATTTTGGTAGTCACATCGATGACATGGAAATGAAGAATGATACGTGAATTTCAGAATTTATTTTTCTGGGATTTTCAGAGGAACCAGAATTGCAACCCTTCCTCTTTGGGCTGTTCCTGTCCATGTACCTGGTCACCATACTTGGGAACCTGCTCATCATCCTGGCCGTCAGCTCAGACTCCCATCTCCACACCCCCATGTACTTCTTCCTCGCCAACCTGTCCCTTGTAGACATCTGTTTCACCTCCACCACTGTCCCCAAGATGCTGGTAAATATACAAACACAGAGAAAAACTATAACTTATGAAAGCTGCATCATGCAGATGGACTTTTTCACACTTTTTGTAGGTTTGGACAATTTTTTCCTGACTGTGATGGCTTACAACCGCTTTGTGGCCATCTGTCACCCCCTACACTACATGGCCACCATGAACCCCCAGCTCTGTGGACTGCTGGTTCTGGTGTCCTGGATCATGAGTGTTCTGCATTCCTTGTTACAAACGTTTATGGTGTTGCAGCTGTCCTTCTGTACAGTCTTGGAAATTCCCCCACTTTTTCTGTGAACTCAATCAGATCATCCAACTTGCCTGTTCTGACACCTTTCTTAATGACATGCTGATGTATTTTGCAACTGTGCTGCTGGTTGCTGCTCCCCTGGCTGGGGCCCTTTACTCTTACTCTAAGATAGTTTCCTCCATATGTGGGATCTCATCAGCTCAGGGGAAGTACAAAGCGTTTTCCACCGTGCATCTCACCTCTCTGTTGTCTCCTTATTTTATTGTACAATCCTAGGAGTGTACCTTAGCTCTGCTGCTCCCCAGAGCTCCCACTCAAGTGCAGTAGCCTCGGTGATGTACACGGTGGTGACGCCCATGCTGAACCCCTTCATCTACAGCCTGAGGAACAGAGACATAAAGGGGGCCCTAAATGTATTTTTCAGAGGGAAGCCATAAAAGGCCCATTTTCCCCCCAAAAAGTACCTGTTATTGCAGGCTAATGCCTACCAGCCAGAAATTGTGATTCTTTAATCGGATCATGAAATAAGAACTTAATCCCTCTATTTGTATCCTGGAATGTCATCTTTTCTAAAGTTCAACTGCTTTATTAAACTTTCTGTTCCTTTTGATAGCCAACAATTTTTTCTTTTTTGTTTTCTTAATTTCCAAATCAGTTCCAAACCTGCATCAGAAACAATTTGGAGATTTCCATTTGCCTTATGGAGTGATGAACTGTACTAGTTTTATGGAATAAACTACATTTTGCAACTGAGGCTATTTTTATAATTTTATTGTACAGGAAATTCTGAGATCACAGTTTTTCACTCTGTGTCTGCCATTCCTTTCTACATTACTACCTTAAATGCTCTTCCCGATAATATAGACTTTAACCTACTAGTTTGTTTTGTAGCTAGTCACGGGGTTTTGTGATCCTCATTATGATCCTGTTCTCATATCAGCTCGGCATCCACAGTATCCCTGGCACAGAATAGTAAGGCAAAAATTGCTTATGAAAAACACAATCCAAGTGTAATCTACAGAAAGACAAATTTTGCATAAATCAAGTGACTTAATATGGGCTCAGTATCAGAGAAAACTTGGAATTGGATGAAGCAAAATTTTTAATCACACCATATTTCTTTGTAGAAAATGTACTTTTGATGATGTACATCTACTCATTGAAGTGTAGGATATTTGGTGTCCATGTTTAAAGGGTTTTATTGATTGAAGTGAAGAATGTAGTTGCAGATTTTATATTATTAAATTGGATGATTTTGCTGTTCCATATGAAAATTTCCAGTGCTGCCTACAAATAGTACTCCTTCCATTGCCATAAAATTAATATCCCTCTCTGTAAAAATATTGTTATGAATGTTATAGTGTGAGTGAACAATAAGTGTTTTTACTCTGTCATTAAATTCTTTACTTATGATGTTTTGCTGCTGATTTTATTTATTTGCATCTTCTCCCCCACCTTTTTTTTTTGCTCTAACAAATGGTTTGTCAATTTTGCTTAGCTTTTCAAAAATTATCTTCTAGCTTTGTTAATCTTTTCTATTGGTTTTCTGTATGCTCTGATATTTCTTATTTCTTTTCCTCTGCTGCTTGGGACTTATTTTGTTCTTCTCTTTCTAGGTCTTTGCATCATTTGAACAGTTAGGTTATTCACTTAGGCTCTTTTCTTTTTCTTTTTTTTTCTGTTTTCTTTTATTTTTTTAAATTTTATTTTATTATGTTATGTTAATCACCATACAATACATCATTAGTTTTTGATGTAGTGATCCACAATTTGTTGTTTTCATATACACTTAGTGTTCCATGCAGTATGTGCCTTCCTTAATACCCATCACCAGGCTAACCCATCCCCCCATCCCCTCCCCTCTAAAACCCTGTTTGTTTCTCAGAGTCCATAGTCTCTCATGGTTCATCTCTCCCTCCAATTCCCCCCCCCCCATTTTTCCCTTCCTTCTCCTAATGTCCTCCATGCTATTCCTTATGTTCCACAAATAAGTGAAACCATATAATAATTGACTTTCTCTGCTTGACTTATTTCACTTAGCATAATCTCCTCCAGTCCCATCCATGTTGATGCACAAGTTGGGTATTCATCCTTTCTGATGGCTGAGTAATATTCCATTGTATATACGGACCACATCTTCTTTATCCATTCTTCTGTTGAAGGGCATCTTGGTTCTTTCCACAGTTTGGCTATTGCGGACATTGCTGCTATGATCATTGGGGTGCATATGGCCCATCTTTTCACTACATCTGTATCTTTGGGGTAAATACCCAAGAGTGCAATTGCTGGGTCATAGGGTAGCTCTATTTTTAGTTTTTTGAGGCACCTCCACACTGTTTTCCAAAGTGGCTGTGCCAACTTGCATTCCCACCAACAGTGTAAAAGGGTTCCCCTTTCTCCACAACCTCTCCAGCATTTGTTGTTTCTTTCCCTGCCCATTTTTGCCATTCTACCTGGTGTAAGGTGGTATCTCAGTGTGGTTTTGTTTTGAATTTCCCTGATGGCTAATGATGATGAACATTTATTCATGTGTCTGTTAGCCATTTCTATGTCTTCTTCAGAGAACTGACTTTTCATATCTTCTGCCCATTTTTTGACTTGATTGTCTGTTTTTTGGGTGTTGAGTTTGAGAAATTCTTTGTAGATCTTGAATACCAGCCCTTTATCTGTAGTGTCATTTGCAAATATCTTCTCCCATTCTGTGGGTTGCCTCTTTGTTTTGTTGACTGTTTCCTT